GAAGGAAGTGGTGTTTCAGGTAGCTGGGACCCACGCCATGTCTTCTGTGAGAAGCTGTCACACTGCCCAAGTGGCAGGGGATTGCAGAGCAAAACTGGGACTCTGGAGAGGCCACAACTGCATCTTCTTGGCCAAGGGGATGGCTGCCTTACTGCAGAGCTTTTCAGGATGTGGGCTAAAGGGGAAGTGGGAAATATATATTAATAGGAGTCAAAGCAAATCAAAGGTGAGTCCACCTGTGAGTCGGTAGCCTGTATTAAAGGGAAGTTGCTATAATTTGTGATTATATTTATTTGCACTCACCCCAAAGTCAGACTCAAGATGCAACACATGTAGATGACAATCCTGTGGGGAATGTTGTTGGGTTTTTTTTTGTTTATTTAAGTGTCATTTCCTTCAAATATGTTGTGCTGTGTTTTGCAATACGAAAGCAACGTTTGCTGTAACTGATGCTTGTGGGATGCATATAACATGTCCGATAGATAGTAAATGATTAATAGGAAGAGTTTTCATTTGTATAGCTTTTTTTCTTTATAAATGTATCTAATATCTCTTGTAGCCAGCAAAACCTCCGAGCACTGTGGTCTCCTGAGACTGGGACCAGATTAGAAGACTCTTCATGCATAACCAGGCCGTTCGTTTTCACATTTTCTTTCAGTTTTGATTTGAGTTGTGAGGTAAAAAAATCAGAATTTCAAAATGTTATTCAGTTGAAAGGGCTTTGTGAAACCATCGCTATCCCAAAGATTCAGAAGGGAGAGCCATACTTGAAATAAAATGATCTCGAGTTTGCTCCAAAAGTGCATGAACCTGAGCAGAATTTTTTCAGGACAAACCTGATCTGAGTTTTTTGAGTTCGCCCTGAAACTGCAAACCAGGCCCATTTAGTGTGGTTTGGGGTTTCATTGCAAACATTGTGCACAGCTCTTAGTCAGGGCCAATCCGGACATAAATGGGAGACCTTCAAGGGAAAACTGAGGTGCCGTAGGAAGTGGTGTTGGTGACTCAGTAGGTGGTGCACTTCCTTATGAGTCAGTGTGGAACAAGTATTCTTGTGTGGGGTTAGGAGGTCTGGTCTCATGGATGTACTCTCTTTTGGATGACACATGAATTCCAAGCTCATACCCAAGGCCTTGTGGACTCTGCAGCAAGGTGACCTGATTTCAGCAGCCGATTGGGAATTCAGGGACATTGAGGAATTGACATTTTTTAATGGCTGGGTGTAATTTGTTACAATAGCACCCATGGTTCCCAGGGGGTCTCAAGGTCCTTTTGTACCTGGCACTGTCCAAACATCTAATGAGAGGCAGTTCCTGCCTCAAAGACTTTACAATCAAAATAGACAAATGAAATATTCTTTTCCTGTTATACAGATGGGGATCTGAGACTCAGAGAGATGGAGTGACTTGCCCAAGTGTGACGGTGCGTTGGGGTTCTCCCGCCTCCTGCACCCCCGTAATGGCACGAACAGACTCCACCAGCCAGTAGAATAGAGGGAGTTTATTGCCTCTCCAGGATACAGCACAGCACAGATGTCATCTGGTTACAGGTCAGGCCTAGGATGCTTCAGCCCCCCTTGATATGGGGGAGTCTGGCTCCTAAATCCCAGCCTGTTGCCTAGGCTGCTTCCTCCATGATACCAGACAGAGACTAAAACTCTCCTCCAGCCCTGCCCCCCAGCCAGGGATGGCATTACACCTTCCTTTGTTTCTCTCCTTGGGGGGTAGCTGGTCAGACAGGTTGAGAGACCCTTTTTGCATAATGACTCATCCCCTGTCCTGCTGGGCCGTGGTACAGACAGCAGCCAGTGGGGGTTACCACAGCCCCAGCATAGAAACCAGCAAGGTACCCATACTACATCACACCAAGATGATATGCAAAGTGCATGGGAGAGCATGAAACCCAATCTCCACTGACCTATCGCAATACCTTAATAATAATGCTACCTTCCCACTCCATAAACAAACATACATGATGCAGGCAGCACAGTAGCCCGTGTGTTTTGTAGTTTGATTTGCTCCGTTTCTTTTATAGTGTCCTCAAATGTCCAGCTTACTTCAGATGTTTGTATTGATCACACCTTCTGCCAGGCAGTTGTGGGAGGGGGATGTTCAATGTTCTGGCAGGTGGGTTGCGCACAGAAGGCATGTTCATCCCCTGAGAAGATGTGGGAAGCAGTTTTTAGATTGTGGGATGAGCGTTGGTGCGGACAGGGTCAGCCAGGGAGCAGTCAACAATGTTGACATTTTCACTGAGGGCTTGGCTGCATTGTTAACACTCCTTGGACGTGAATGGGAGCCGTTCACATATCTCCAAGAACTACTGACTTCAGTCTGCTGACGGAAGATGATAACCATATATCCCATGTGCAACCCTCTTAAAGCAATGGAGGTGTCTGACAAATGAATTGTAGGTGGAAAGAGCCATGTTTTCTTGTAACAAAATGATCAGGCACCATAAAAGACTCTGGTCTCCCTAAGTGAATTAAATAAACCAGGTTTTCCAAACCTGGGAAAACAGGAATTTCATCCTCTGTGAGTCTTAGGCTCCCAATATGGATTGGGAGAAGGGTTTGCATTGGTCCTTCAAACCCCAGCACCAAGCTTTCCTGCTTGAGCTGGAGGAGAAACTGTTAGTTTTGAGTCTAAGTCACTAGAGGGGGATGTAACACACATTTGCTGTTGGGATTGCCCAGGCATTTATTAAGCAGCAGTGTGTAGCTAACCCGGAATTCCGGGTTCTATTCATGGCTCTGGAAGGGGCATGGTTGCTTGTAAGCTACCCCATTCATACTGAAAGGCAGGGTAGCCAACTAAATGAGTTAGGCCTTTTGTATTGGAGACCCAAGTTTCCATCTCAGCTTTGCTGCAAATGTCCTTATGCAACTTTTTTAAATGTGGAGAATACTCTGTGACTATCTGCTGGGGGAGGGTGTGGAGGATTTGTGCATTAGTAAGGGCTGTGAGGGTCACAGTGAAATAAGCAGAAATTGGCAGAGGTGAGAACAGATCTCTCAGTTCCCCGGCTCAGAACTCAGGGCATCGTCACTCAGTGTTCTGAGATCTTCAGATGGAAGGCACTCTAGTCACGCGGCATATTATGTTGGGTTAGCTGCTCCCGTCCCGCCTCATCTATGGAGGATTTGTGCATTAGTAAGGGCTGTGAGGGTCACAGTGAAATAAGCAGAAATTGGCAGAGGTGAGAACAGATCTCTCAGTTCCCCGGCTCAGAACTCAGGGCATCGTCACTCAGTGTTCTGAGATCTTCAGATGGAAGGCACTCTAGTCACGCGGCATATTATGTTGGGTTAGCTGCTCCCGTCCCGCCTCATCTAAAATATTCAAGAAGAGGTGTGGCAAAGTTATGGCCGTGCCCAGTGGGTCTTGTACTACTAGTGGATAATAGCCTCACAGACTTGCTGTGGTCCTATACACGACCCCTTTCTCTTTATAGGAGGCAGGGTCCACAGTTTAGTGAGCCATACTCATCACAGGCTAGTCTATGGTTTTGGGATGAAAACCCCCTGATAGTCCTGGTCTCCCTTCTTGGGACAGGCTCTGTGTTGGTGGGGAGAAGGTTTGAGGGGATCCTGGGCCCACCCACTGCTCTGGGTTCCGGCCCAGGGACCCTAAAGCAGCAGCAGTCAAGGTTGTTTTTCCTTCTGGCATGGCAGCTTTTTCTCTGGGCCACTTCCCCAAACAACCCCTCCAAAATGTCTCCCTCTGGCACCTGTTAACCAGCTCTCAGCTCACACTCAGCTTTTTCTTGTTCCTCTCTTTCTCCATCTGGTCCATCACTCTTTGTCTTCCCCCTCTCCTTAGTTAGGGGAGGCCTTTTAAAGCAACTCCACTGGCTGTAATTGGCCACAGGTGTTGAGTGACTTGCCTGAGGGAGCAATCTAGTTAATTAGCCCCAGGTGTTTTCCTGTCTTCATTTTATTGCAGCAGGCTCTAGTAGTTTACTCTGGGAAGAGAAAACAACTTATCCAGTGCCCTGTATACCTGCCTTCCGCCGTAATGTGCCACGCTGCTAGCTTAGGTCTGTCACGGGCTATTCAAGATAAGTATGGGCAGCATATTCTAGCCAGTTCATTTGTAAATGAGGCATCATATGAATATGACATTGATAGTGATGATGGGCGAGCGCTTGTTGCCAAGTATGATCATCTTCAATGGGAGTTCAGGACCCTCGGCTGATAAGGCCGATCCTTGAACTACAAGTTTTATTACTGTGAGGACAGATGATTCCAGGTACGCCAGGAGGCTGTTGACCATGACTAGAAGCCAGCCTCTCTCTTCTCCTGTGCCTCTTCTCATATCAGCAGACAAATTCAAAATGCAGGGAGCCATCGCATAGGACTGGTCTCCATTTTGGGTGATTCTGAGTGAGTGTCTCCCAAGTGTCAATGTTGCACTTCTTTAAGTTATCCTTTAGCAAGGCCTTAGAATCCTTCTGTTGTCCTCCCACATTACGGTATCCTTCTTTCAGCTGAGAAAACAGGACCTGTTTTGGGAGGAGATGGTCTGGCATCCGAACAACGTGACCAGTTCAGCGAAGTTGCTGACGTATGATCATCATCTCAATACTGACGGACTTTTCTTCTTCCAGGACACTGATGTTAGTGCACCTGTCTTCCCATTTGATCTTCAAGATTGTGTGGAGGGCAACATTGGTGATACCTCTCAAGGGCTTTCAAGTGATGTCTGTAGCCAAGCTGGCCTTACCATGAGGCGAACTGAGGTGGCCGCCTCAGGTGCCATACTGTGTGGGGGGAGGGGTGCCACTAGGACCCAGAGTGTAGAAAATTGTGTCTGCTGCTGGTGCATATGTATTCTCTCTGCTCTAGATGCACAGAGATGGTGAAGTGCCGTGCAGGAGGAAGGAGGGCACAAGAGACATAACAGGCAGGCAGGAGAAAAGGGGACATGGGGGTGTCATTTGAGCTCCCCTCCTCAGGTGCCAAAATGTTGTGGGCCGGCCCTGGTCTGTAGGTTGTCCAGATTTCATACATAGTGTTGAGAGAATGATGGCTTGATAGACAAGATGTTTGGTGTCTGTTCAAATATCATGATCTTCAAAAACCCTGTGCCGTAAACGAGCAAAGGCTGCACTGGCACAGCTCAGACGATGTTGGATTTCTACATCAATATCTGCCCTTGATGACAGATAACTTCTGAAGTAGAGAAAATGATCGACGTTCTCCAGTGCCTCTCCATTGATTTTAAAAGATGGGGCGCATTGTACCTCATTTGGAGAGGGCTGATGGAGCACTTTGATTTTCTTGATGTTGAGAGTGAGACCAAGACGTACATAAGCATCAGCAAACACATTCAAGAGAGCCTGAAGATCTTTCTCAGAGTGGGCAAAAACTGCATTGTCATCAGCATACTGAAGTTCCATGATAGATGTGGTGGAAATCTTACTCTTAGTTTTCAGCCTGCTAAGCCCAAACAGCTTTCTAGCCATTCTGACGATGATTTCAATGCCAGCGGGGAGGTTCCCAGCAATTAAGTGGAAAATGGCTGCAATAAAGACTTCAAAGATGGTTGCACTGATGATACAGTCCTGTTTGACTCCTTTTTGTACTTTGAAAGGTACAAAGGAGCCAGTGCTGGGAGCCTGTGCTGCTCCGAACAGTCGCTTTTATGTTGTCATGAAGCAACTTTAGGACACTGATGTATTTATCAGGACATCCAATCTTTGAAAGTACCGTCCAAAGGGCACAGCAATTCACTAAGTCAAAGGCTTTAGTTAGATCAATAAAAGCCATGTAGAGTGGTCAGTTTTGCTCCCGACTTCTCTTGCAATTGCTGTGCAATGAAGATCATATCATATCCTATGATTTCTGAACACAAGGACTAGTTGGCTGTTAGTACTGCAAGCCCCACAGACATTCCAAAGTAGGGAGGGCAGGGACGGAGCCAAAGACTGGTCCCTCACTTCACGCTAGCTGACAGACTGAAACTGACTCTGGGGAAGAGTGGGGAAAACACACAACCAGATCTGGCTAGAAAAGGGGATTTATTCATGTCGAGAAAATTGATTAAAAAAAAAGAACATATCTGCAGTTTGGATTTTTGTTTATTTGATGAAAAGGCGACATGCTCTGTGGACAGTAGCCACTATCCAGACAAATGTTCGATTTATCCAAAATCCATTTTTTTTTTGCAGAAAAACAGTTCTGACCGTCCATTTTCTATCAATCCTTTAAGCAACACATTCAAAAGGGCCACTTCCGAATATACTTCCCTAAGTGACAGTGGAAAGAGTCTGCCTATATCCTTTTCAGGCAGTGCCTTCTGGAACGATCACTGGAAGTCTCTTCTTGCACTTTCCTTACATGTGGTCTGACTGATTATAAAAGCCAGAATACTGCCCTGAGTTTCCCTGTAAAACAAACAAGATATATTCCAAGAGTCCTCACATGGCAGAGGAATGCCAACAAAACCACCGTATTTGCAATAATAACTTTCCTGTTATGTATAATAACGACAGTAATATGATGCATTATGTTGAGCTATGCTATACAGCCGCTATAACTGTTAGTATCCACAATAAACAAAGAGCTAGTGTCTGTGCAGAGAAGGAGGCCAATTCATAACAAAGTTGCATGCACCACTAACATAGAGGTTTTGTGCACTTTACTATGGGGTAGGTTGGACATAGCATGTGGGATTTTGAGCCCACGGAAATTCGATCAGTTCCACCAAACTTCCAGCAGAACCTGGTTTTCAATTTTGTTCCGATAAAGACATGGTTTCTTTAAGAGTAACTGGTAATAGGCAGCTTGAATGATTATCTTGTTGTTCTACTAACCTCTGAGATTATAGTAGATGACACAGTCTATAGGGGTATGGGAGGCTATGCAGGAGGTGTATTCAGTAAAGATACTAGAAAGCAATGCAAGACAGGAAAAATGTCTTACATGTGGCTGGTATGCAGGCATGGAGCAGAGATACCAAAAGATGAGAGACATGAAGGCCTGGAGAGAAATGGTCCTGCATGGTCTAGGAAGAACTACAAATCTGAGGGAAGAAGACTTCCAGGTATTCTGAAGAGCCTGGCTATTGTTAAACATATTGGAGACTACCTCAAACATATACCTCTGATCTTGTTGTTTCTTTTTCCACAGACACCTATGGGCCAGAATGGATCTCTGACCTGAACAGAAAGGAGTTATCATTAAAGAGTTGCACTTTCGTAGCATGATTACATTTTCACATGCACTTCAAAAAAGACCACTCATTAGAAGTCAACTTTACCATGTATTACATATCCACCTATCACACAAACGCAACCTTAACCACACCCACCCACGCTGTCGGTGAGTGCCAGCAGAAGCCAGAACACTCCTGCCATACACAATATGTTATCTCCACAGGCCTATAGTCTCAACCACGTTGGGCTGCTTTAATACCGGGACATCTGATCACTGTACCTCTAAGGCTTTGTCTACATTGCAGGGTTTTTATGCAAGAAGCCTTTTGTGGAAGAGTTCTTGCACAACAGTGTGCCCAGACCTCAAGGCGCATCACAAAAGTGATGGGCTTTTGCACAAGAGAGCATCCACACTGCATGGACACTCTTGCACAAGAAAGTGCCAGGTTTGAGATTAGATCCCATCTCTTTACCAGTTACAAACAACATCTTAGGTCACTAACATTCAAGACCTTGGAATGTGGCACGTTGCCACCATACAACCAACTGTATAGGTGTTTTTTGTTGTGGTGTGCCATGCCACCTTGCACAAAATAGAATGGTTTAACACAAGGTATTCATTGCTTTTCTAATGGAAAACCAGTGTCATTGCTATTAAAATGCTGCATGTCGTGACTTTTTTTTTTCCTTTCTGAGCGTGTTTGCATTTGCTGCACTTAGAACTTTTCCATTTTGTTCATGTTGGGGTTTTTTGCATTGAGAAAGGCAGGTCTGTTTCAATTTTAGGCCATGACAAGCTGCTCGTCTGATAGGTGAGTAACACTTTCTTATTGTGCTGTCATTTTGGGGGTCAGTTTTATGTTCCTTACAACTACAGTTACAGGAGTCAACAAATCGGATTTGAGCAGTGTCCACTACAGATCCAATACCAGTCTGTAGGAACATTATTTTACTCTTCAAATCAATAAATAACACAATGTCCAACATAAAAAAAATGCTACTGGTTTAGATCAAAGCTGCTCTGGTTTGATCCTTAGGCCCTTTACAGGGGAAGACTTTGGAAATTCAGATCCTGATCTGGGTTTTGCTGCTAAGGCCCATTCACACTGATGTTCTTTATTTCAATGTGTCAGTAAGGAAATTAATGCGGAAAACTACAAAACCATGTAAGGGATTTAGATACTTAATTCCTATTTAAATAAATGAAGTTGGGTGTCCAGATCCTGTAGGCAGCTTTGAAATTCTCTGACAAAATCTTTTGATTTATCTGTTTGACTCTGCTTTTGCCCTGATGGAATTAAAGCAGCAAACTTATGGCAAAGTTGATTTGTTACTAGTTTTAACAATTTTACATTATGGTTTCAGAAATTAAATCAAGCCAAATTTACTCAAGGAATTCAACTCACCTACTAACCTAATTATTTTCTCTCCTGCTTGAGTAACAATAAGATGTTCTGTGTTCTAATTGTAAAGGCTGGGTAAAATTAAATTAATACATTTTGTCTCTGTGGATTCAGGCTAATATTTTGAATTATCTCTGTTAAGTCAAAGGATCACATAGTCTGCCCCAGGGCTGCACACAGATGTTCTTTTTAAATTAATTATGAGCCAGGACTTCTATGCAAAAGTGCTTAAGAAACACTTATTGGGACAAAGCCAGTTTTATTTAATAGGCAACAGGTTTAAAACAAACAAAAATAAGTTTTTATTCACTCAGTACACAGTCAACCTGTGGAACTCCATGCCAGAGGATGTGGTGAAGACTAGGACTTTAACAGGGTTCAAATAAGAGCTAGATGGAGGTTGGGTCCATCAATGGCTATTAGCCAGGATGGGTAGGAATGGTGTCTCTAGGATCTGTTTGTCTAGAAATGGGTGACAGGAGAGGGATCACGTAAGGATTACCTGTTGTGTTCCCTCCCTCTGGGGCATCTGGTATTGGCCACTGTTCACAGACAGGATACTGGGCTAGATGGGCCTTTGGTCTGACCCAGTATGGCTGTTCTTATTTTTTTTTTTTAGTGAAAATCAATTGCACATACCCCATTGTTCACCCCTTGAGATTTTTTCCCTTCCATGTGTTCCTAGGTCAATTGCTTTCATTCTTAATTTTTCCACTCTCATGGTCTTATTCTGACCTCACACTGGTTTTACACTACTGTGATTCCATTGATCTCTGTGGAGTCACTGCTGATTTATACTGCTGGAAGAAAGGTAGGAATAAGACTCATCCAAGGGCCATAATCTCTCTAGCAAAGTGAGTGCAAAACACGACTGTTGAGCTCCGAGAGCATTGTGCATCTAGTGCACACATTTAAATGACAATATGGACTATGGACAATGATAATTCTGGTTAAATTTGGAAGAAATGTTTCAGTTTAAACGTGTTGCCAGAGTTAACTCAGATGTAGCGCCAAAACATTTTACTCATTTATGTTTAGCCTCCCTACGTTGTTTTCATTGGGGGCCCTTAAAAATTCTGAACTCAAAAGTTTGTTTTTCAGTTTGAAATTATTTTCTTGTTTCAAAAAATTGTCAACATCATTTTCATTTAAGCAATCAGAAGTGTTAAATGCGCAAAACTGAACCAAAACATTTCAATTCTGGTCAAAGGAAAGGTTTTCTTCAACCTGAAATGAAATACTTTTTGACTTTGCAGTTGACTAAAAATTTTATTTTTCTGTTCAACACACTGTTGGTTTTTTTTAAATTGCCAGTGAACTGGAAAAAAAAAAAGGCATGGCTCTAGATTAGGAGTGCATGTGCTATTTTTAGTGGATAAGAATCCATAATGGAGAAAATAAGTACTTGTCTGCCTGCTCATTCATGGATGTATTTGTTGGGTTTCATTTGTCCTTTCCAAAGCTTTCTCTTTCCTTTATTACTCTGCCCACAATCTGTCTCTCAAGAGGCAGAATCTAAGCATACCGGCATGGCAGTTTTGTGAATCATTTGAGACTCTTAATGACAGTTTTAGAAGGCTTTACAATAATTGTGGCTCTTGCTATGAACCAGTTGAAGAGACGGATCTGAAAGGATAGCTACCTCCTGGAAGTCAGAGGCATAGGGGAAAAGTGAAGTGCCAAAAGACTGGACCTTGCAAAGGAAATCCAAATCAATAGCATGAAGTTCTTTAGCTATATACATAAAAAAAGAAGGGACACTGCTAAGCACTGAGGATGGGGTGGAGATTAAAGCTAACCTGGGTACAGCCAAACACCAGTGTTCCCTCCACATTTTTCCATTGATGTGCAGAATAAATTGTGTTATGTGCACCATGGCATGTGTGGATGTGCACCAGCAGGAGAAACACATATTGCCAGTTGTAGGAGGCTGTGGGAGCTCTGCTAATCAGCTGGGCAGTGTTGGACTTTCTCCTGGGTGGCTGCCCAAGTGCTCCGCTTATGGGGGAGACTGAACAACACCTCAATGAATACTTTGCCTCAGCTTTTACCTCAGGTAATGGGGAGCTTTGGGAGCAGCAGCAGGGTGGCTAATGGAAAGAAGGATATGGAGGCAGAAATTACTACATCTGATGGAAGCCAAACTCAAACAGCTTAATTGGACCACATTGGGAGGCCCACCGCATCATCGCCATGCAAAACATTAAAGGAACTGGGCTATGACGTTGCAAGTCATAGAACAAGGTGTTTTTATGAATGTGTAAACATGGGGCTTTACCCTGTCAAAGTCAGACTCAGGACTCACAAATTTGTCAGACCGCTCTGTTTATTAGCAAAGCCGCTCTGCTAATACACCCAGAAAATGTGAGTACCATACAAAGCTCAAACTCCTTGATTTATACAGACAAAAGAAAGCAAAATTACCATGATCCAAAAAGGAGGCACAATTCATGTGATTAGCATGAGATTAGTCAAGTATCTTCATTTCCATATCAAGCACACAGCAATCTCCTGTCCATATCTCCCTGGTTATCTCAATTACTTTCTGCCTAACGCCTAATGTTCCTTTTCCTGTTATCCCAGACACACTGGGGGTACGTCTAGACTCCTGGGATGAGGTTTACCTGGGTGGTCGACAAATACCTTTGATGTCGACACCCGCGCATCCAGACTATGGCGCTGAGCCGACAAACAGCTGATTAGCTGTTTGTTGGCTCAGCGCGGCAGCCATGTAAATTTAAATGAAGCGGCGATTATTTAAATCGCCACTTCATTTTACTATGTCGGGTAGCCTAATCTACATGGCTCTGGCGACAGAAGCATGTAGTCTAGACGTACCCCTGGTTCCACTCTGATCCATCCTCTCTTTCCTGTTCAAGGACAAACAGTATTCCTTGAACATTTTCTACATTACAATATAATTCTTTCTACTTTCACAACCCCATGACTGGGGAATGGCAAATATAATACAGGTTGAACCTCTCTAATCTAGACTTCCCAAGTCTGGCAACATCCTCGTCTGGCATCGTTGGAGACCCTGAGGCCAGGAGCGTTGCTGGACTAAGGAAGTCCTCAGCTGGCCAAAGCAGAGGAGCCCTGGCTGGTCCGTGGCTGGAGCAACAGCGGTGTGGTACACGGGTGCCGGTGCTGCGAAGCTTGAGGGGGAAGAGGCTGGAGCAGGAGTTCTGGTGCTAAGAGCAGCCAGTGCCCTGGGGGGCAGTCTCTGGGAAAAGAGGGACCAGTATTGACTGCCTCTGGCCCTGCAAATTTCCTAGGTGTCAGATCAGGGAGGTTCAACCTATACTTGTATTTATGAAAGTGGTGGTGTGTAGGAATGGTGTCCCTAACCTCTGTTTGTTAGAGGCTGGGAATGGATGACAGGAGAGGGATCACTTGATGATTCCCTGTTACGTTCAATTCCTCTGGGGCATTTGGCATCGGCCACTGTCAGTAGACAGGATAGATGGGCTAAATGGATTTTTGGTCTCACCCAGTATGGCCATTCTGATGAGGGAAATGATCTGGAGACACAACTTGTTAGTTTGAACTCAATTGTATATATCATTTTAGAACAAATTTTGAAAGGGAGGGAGAATAGACACACAGAAGTAAATGGTCATAGGGTTAAAATGCAGCATGCTTTTACAAAAGGTAGATCAGGCCAGACCAGCCGGATCTCTTTCTTTGTGGAGATAACAGATTTTCTCTACAAAAAAGGAAACGCAGTAGGTATAATCTGCCTGGATTTCAGTAAATCATTTCATACAATTCCACACAGGAAATTACTAGTTAAATGAGAGAAGATGGGGATTACTGAAAACCGAAAAACGGGCAAGAAACTGGTTAAAGGGGTGACTTTGCTGTATGTGGAGCTGGAAAGCAATTTTCCCCTCAGGCAGAGGCCTTGTGGACTTTTGACCTCCTCTTCAGCAGGGCAGAAGTAGGTTTGAACTAGAGTAGATGGTGGATTCTCTGTCACTTGAAGGCTGCATCTACACTGGCATGATTTTGTGCAAATACTTTTAACGGAAGAGTTTTTCCACTAAACGTATTTGCGCAAAAAAGCGTTATACTGGCATGTGCCTTTGCCGTGCCAGTGTAGATGCTCTCTTGCGCAAGAAAGCTCTGATGGCCATTTTAGCCATTGGGCTTTCCTGCGCAAGAAATTGATGTTACCTGTCTCCACTGGCCTCTTGCGCAAGAACACTTGCACAAGAGGACTTATCCCTGAGCGGGAGCATCAGAGTATTTGCGCAAGAAGTACTGATTTTG